CACCAGGCCCAGCAGCTCCAGTACCGCCGGTACGAGCACCTCCGGGACCCGTGGCTCCAGAACCTCCAGCAGCCGCAGAACCTCCAGCACCGGTAGCACCACCAGCTCCAGCAGCACGACTCCAGCGGCGAGCAAACCACTCACGTAGCTCCTGGGGAGAGGGCAGCTCCCACCGGGACGAAGCACCCGAAGGACCTCCAGGCCCAGCACCACCAGGCTCCACTCGAGCAGGCCCAGCACCCTCAGGCTCCGCACCCCCAGACTCAGCACCCCCAGACTCAGCACCCCCAGGCTCCGCACGCTCAGACTCAGCACCCCCAGACCCGGCACCCGCAGGCTCAGCACCCCCAGACTCAGCACCCCCAGGCTCCGCACGCTCAGGCTCAGCACCCCCAGACCCGGCACCCGCAGGCTCAGCACCCCTAGCAGCACCAGAGTCAACAGCTACCTCGACAAGCTCGACTGGGTCTACCTGGGACACACCAAAGGGGGCAGGACCCTAAGGGGGGAGGGGGTCTACCGGGAGGGGGGACCTGGTGCGAGGAAGAGCGGCGGGGAGGGGAGGGGGGCAGCGTGGTAGGGGAAGAGACGGTAGTACGGAACCGACTCGTCAAACGTGACGTCCTGGGAGGACAGAACACGGCGCGAGGTGGGGTGGTAAAACTGCCAACCAGGCGCGTCAGGGGGGAAGCCAAGGAAGACGCAGGGAACAGCACGAGAGGACAGCTTGTCCGCAGACAAGTCTCGGACAAAAGCCCGAGATCCCGAGACACGGAACGCAGACGCATCGCCAACCTTCCCGTCCACCGCAGGGTGGGGGAGGTCTCCGGCAAGGAGACCCGGGGCTGAAGGTTGACCTGCTGCGCCGCGTACTGAACCGCAAATGGCCACAGAAAATGGGGAGCAGCCGCATGGATCATGGACGTACGAACGACGTCCATGACCATGCCAATGCGGCGCTTAGCAATCCCATTTTTCTGTGGAGAGGCCGGAAGCGTGAACGTCTGGCGGATGCCCCTCGCACGACAGAAGGCTCGCAGAAGGTCGGAGGAAAACTCTCCATCTCTGTCGGAGTGCAGACGCAGAACAGGAAAGTCCGAGCCGAAACTCTCTCTGAGCTGGAGACGAGCAGCGCGGATCCAGTCGATCAACACCCCAGTGACCTCACCCTTGGTGCGCAAGGGGAAGACTGCGGTGTAACGCGAGTAGTCGTCAACCACCAAGAGGAAGTAACGCTCGTGACCCTGTCCACGGACGCGGGCTGGGCCCCACACGTCCATGTGAAGAGTCTGCAGCGGAGCCTCTGTCGGCGGAAACTCGGAGGAGTGAGGAGCGGCGCGCTGTCGCCCCTCTACGTAGGGAACGCAGGTAGGGGCAGGCCCCGGAGGAAGGGGAGGGAGGGACCGGGGGAGACCAGAGACAAGGTAACGGGAGGCCATGCCTCGGAGATGAGGCAGGGAGGGGTGACCAAGGCGGTGGTGCCAGAGGAGGGTCTGGTGGGACTGGAGGCGACACGAGCAGGGGGCAGACTCAGGACCAGACCTGGATGCTGCAGCAAATACCTGACCCGACGCAGCTACCTGACCAGACGCAGTAACCGGAGGAGACTTGGTAGTCAGTGTGTACAGGCTCGACCCCGGCTGACGGGTAAACGTGGCCAAGTGTCGGCCCTTCCGAGCACACGTGCAGTGGGTCACCCGCTGACTCGCAGGAGTGAACTGGTCAACTCCCCCATCCTGCAGGTCAGCACCACTCACCAAGTTCGTAGAGAACGAAGGGAGGTAAAGACCTGACAGGGAGCCAGACGGGGCCACTGGACACGGTAGTACAGTGGAGAAGTGGGCAAGGACAGGACCCCCAGAGGGGTCTGCCAGGGAGACCGCAACCGGCCGACTGAGCGGCGTGAGGGTGGTGCGGTCTCGAAAGAAGGAGCGAGAAGCACCCGAGTCAAGGGTGAAGGTGTGCAAAGCCTGACCAGACGTGGTACCTGAGAGAGCAGACTCACCAGCACCTGGAGCAGCAGACTCACTGGTACCTGGAGCAGCGGACTCGCGAGCACCTAGAGCAGCAGCTGCAATGCCCGGGTCAGGCGGAACACACAGGTAACAGTCACCCTCATCACTAGTAGACACAACATACATGGCAGCAAGAATAGCATCATAGTCAAGATCAAAGATAGCTACACCCGACTTAAGCAAATCACCCCAGCGAGGGATCTCAGAGGCGTAAGGGAACTGGAGACGCCAGGCGTCAGTCAGGCGGCCAAAGCAGCGCTGGGTGGTGTGCGGCCCGCCGCACGGCTCCCCAGTGCGGTCACCAGTACGCAGGACGTAGGCACAGGGACCAGCACCCCCAGACCGCTGACGCGCAGCGTACCACTCACGAAGCTGCTGGGGTGGCGGGGTCTCACAAGAGCGCTGCTGCTGCTGACGCTGGCCACCACCGAAGCCTCCCCGCGGCACAGAGCCACCCCGACCAGCGCCACCGCCACCGCCGCCACCGCCGCCACCGCTGCCTCCTCCACTCCCACCGCCACCGCCGCCGCCGCCTCCGCCGCCGCCACCAGAGCCCCCACCCCCGCCACCACTCCCACCGCCACCCCCACCCCCTCCGCCGCCCCCACCGCCACCACCACCGCCCCCGCCCGCTCCCCCAGCACCCTTGCCCCCCTTGCCCTTGCCGTTGCGGCGCCTCCCGCTAGGGGCAGACGCAGCGCCGACCGACTCGGTGCCAATGAGGTCAAGACAACAGGAGCAGAGGCAACAGAGGGCAAAAGGGGGACGGGGAAACACCCCTCAAAGAAAGGGGCACGAGGGTCACCACGAGAGGCTCCTACAGCGACTATACTCTTCTCAGCTGCAAGGAGGCGCTCCTCGAGGAGGTCAACGGTGAGTGTGGTGGGGTAAACAGAGAGGAAGTGGTCCCTGACCGAGCGAAGGGAGTCAGGGAGTCGGGTGACTAGGTAGTAGAGGGTGATGTACATAGGGGGGGGATTCTTGGCGCAGAACTCAGCAGGAAGCGCAGCGCGGTAGCGGGTGTCACTAGTGCGGAGGTGCGTAATGAGGTCAGCGACTGTGGGAAAGGCGGCGAGGTCAGGGAACAGGTACGGCAGCGTGAGGCGACTAAGGGCAGCAGTGGCAGGGGAGGAGTAGCGTGCAACTACCGCGTCGTACAAGGTCTTAGCAGTCTTGTACTGGCTAAAGTGCGCGCGCTCAGTGGACGGCAGGTGACTACGCACAGCAAGACGGGCAGCAACATCGCGTGTGGTCCACTGTGAGCGAACAGTACTGTCAGCATCGGCAGCAGGGGCAGTAGAGGTCGAAAAGTGAGAGGTCGTGTTTGCTATCGCACTGCAGGAAAAGCTGCAGATCATGTATCCAGACCTCAAAGTCTACCGCTCGACCCTCAGCATCAAAGGTAAGAACGTTGGGACTAGCCATGACAGCAGCAGCAGCAGGCTAGCAGCAGCAGCAGCAGAAGCAGGTTAGCAGTAGCAGCAGCAGGAGGGGCGCGGCTCGGCGGTGTGCTTACCAGGGGCGGGTGGGTAGAAGCCCGCAAGTGGTGGGGCAGGGCCGAGGCGCGCCGGCAGGATCAGGGTTGCAACAGGGCGGCAGAGGAGGGCCGCGACTCGGCTGTAGGGTAGGGCCGGGACGGCGGCGGCGGCTGTCACGGCAGTGGCAGCTGCGGTTGTCTCAGCAGCAGCGGCGGCAGCTGTCACGGCAGGAGCGGCGGCGGCTGTCACGGCAGCAGCGGCGGCGGCTGTCACGGCAGCAGCGGCGGCGGCTGTCACGGCAGCAGCGGCGGCGGCTGTCACGGCAGCAGCGGCGGCGGCTGTCACGGCAGCAGCGGCGGCGACGAACGGCAGTGGCGGAAGCGGCAGCGGCAGCAGGCGCGACGGCTGCTGCTGCTGGGGCGGCGACGACGGGGCGGCAGGGCCGCGAAGAGCCGCGGAGGGGCCGCGGAGGGGCCGTGACGGGGCCGTGAAGAGCCGTGAAGGGGCCGCGAAGGGCCGCGAAGGGCCGCGGAGGGGCCGCGAAGGGGGGCCGCGAAGGGCCGCGAAGGGCCGCGGAGAGGCCGCGAAGGGCCGAGAGGGGGGCCGCGAGGGGCCGCGAAGGGGCCGCGAAGGGCCGTGAGGGGGCCGCGAAGGGCCATAAGAGGGGCCGCAAGGGGCCGCTAAGGGGTCGCGACAGGGGCAGTGAAGGGGCCGCGAAGGGGGGCCGCTAAGAGGGCAGCGAAGGGGCCACTAAGGGGCCGTTAAGGGGCAGGCCACTGAGGGGCCGCGAAATTTTAGGGCAGGACGCGAAGCGCGCTTCGGGCAGGCTAATTTTTTTTTTCGAAGGTGGGCCCTTAGGAAAAAACGGTCCCACTAGGGAACCCTCCCTGATACCATGTGAGAAAATGAGGAATGAATTGACTAGGAAACATGTGGGTACAAGTAGGAAACCTAGAAGTGTTGTACCCTATAGTATCTACCCCACTACAGCCTAGATAGACTATAGCATATATGTTTGACAACGCGGCCTGGCGTGACGTGGCATGTGACGTGGCATGTGACGTGGCGTGGCGCTGCCGGTGACGTGGCTTGGCGATGATGTGGGAGCTGCATGGCGTGGCATTGCCAATGACGTGGCGTTGCCAATGAACAAACAAGGGCAATCCATGTAAGAATGAAGGTGGAAACAAGAAAGCTCTGTAGTAATTGTTTTCCGTTGTTTCCCCATCCCCCACTGCTCACTGCACTGTTTCCCCATGCCTCACGTCCTCTCCCCCCACTCCGCTTCTCCCCCCTCGTTTCCCTCACCTTCCCCGCCCCGTCCCCCACTCTGACCTCCCCCGCCTCCCCTTGTACCATCGCCAGGTCCGCGTTTCCTGGGAGGTGCTGCGAGTGACCTGGCGTGCGCTGCCGGTGACATGGCTTCGCTGCCGGTGACGTGGCGAGGCGCTGCCGGTGACTTGGCGTCGCTGCTGGTGACGTGGCGAGGCGTTGCCGGTGACTCGGCATGCTGCTGCCGGTGACGTGGCGTGGCGCTACCGGGAGTGACGTGGCATGGCGTGGTGCTGTCGGGAGTGATGTGTCGAGGCGTGGCGCTGCCAGGAGTGACGTGGCGACGAGTGGGAGTGGCGTGGCGAGGTGTGGCGCTGCCGGGAGTGACGTGGCGACGAGTGGGAGTGACGTGGCGACGCGTGGCGCTGCTGGCGGTGACGTGGCAACGCGTGGCGCTGCTGGCGGTGATGTGGCGACGCGTGGCTCTGCTGGCGGTGACGTCGCGACGCGTGGCTCTGCTGGCGGTGACGTGGCGACGCGTGGCGCTGCCGTCGGTGACGTGGCAACGCGCGGCGCTGCTGGCAGAGACGTGGCGACGCGTGGGGCTGCCGTGGGTGACGTGGCGATGTGTGGCGCTGCTGACAGTGGCGTGGCGTCACGTGGCGCTTCTGGCGGTGACGTGGCGACGTGTGGCGCTGCCGTCGTTGACGTGGCGACACGTGGCGCTGCTGGCGGTGACGTAGTGATGTGTGGCGCTGCCGTCGGTAACGTGGCTGTCGAGACTAGAACGGGTGAAAGATTTACTAAGGGAAAAGAGTTACAAGAAGATATAGCCAACCCTAGGAATATGAAATGGTACACCTAGACTAACATAAATTAAACATATAAAACATATGTTGACACACCCCCATAGTCTAAGTGACGGCAGTCCTGTGGAAAGCAACACAAATCTCAGGGTGGGTCTCAAGGACACACACATTCTGAGAACAAGCAAGGGTCACATGACCGGTCAGCAAGAACAAGCAAGGGTCACAAGACCAATCCACAAGAACAAGGCAAATCTCAGGGTGGAGCTCAAATTCACCACACACTCCGAGAGCAAGCAAAGGGCCACAAGGCCAGTCCACATGTTAGCATATAGCAAATATAATGAGATGCAAGAGTACAAGACAAGCAGGACAAAGCATCTCTACGTAAGCAAGTGAGGACGAGCAGGCACAAGGCCAAGCTGGGTGAAGAAACGCTGGTGGTCACAAGGCGGCAATGCCTTGGTGAAGATATCTGCCGTGTTGGCCTCAGAGACCACACGTCGGACGAGTGCCTGGCCACGCTGCTGCAACTCACGCAAAAGGAAGTAACGAAGCTGGATGTGCTTCGACTTCCCAACCAGTCGGGGCTCCTCACACAACAGGACAGCAGACCTGTTGTCGGCGAACAAGACTGGGGGAGAGCGAGGCCGCTCACCAAGGTCGGTGAGAAGGAAAGACAGGCAGCGAAGCTCCTGAGCGGCCATGGCCGCAGCGTACACCTCTGCCTCACAGCTGGAACCGAAGACGGACGACGCCCGAGTCGACCGCCACGAAACAGCACCTGTCCCGAGGCTAAAGGAGTACCCCTGTGTAGACCGACGCGTCTCCGCGTCGTCGGCCCACGACGAGTCCGAGTAATCTGTGAGTGTAACTGGCTGCTTCCCTCCAAGGACAAGTCCCATGCCTGATGTACTCGCCACATACTTCGCCACCCTCTTAGCAGCGTACCAGTGAGACGGTCGGTGTCTCCCAGGCGCAACAAAACGCGAAAGGACGCTAAGAGGGTAAGCTAGTTCTGGGCGAGTACAGGTCATCAGGTACATGAGACCACCCACCAACTCAGGATATGGACCACTGGGCTCAAATGACTCGTCCGAAGGTGGAGCCGTGAGCCCATGATCCATACCCAGAGGGGTAAGTTGTACCTTGGAGAACGGGAAGCGAAACCGCGTGAGGATCTGCTCGACCATATGCGACTGCGTCAGCGTAATGGTGCGAGCTGCCCTGTCCCTAGTGATCTGCAGGCCAAGGTAGTGCTGCAGCTCACCAAGGTCAGTGCAAGTGTGTCTCCTCTGCAGTTCCTCCTTCACGGAGGCCAGTGCGTGTTGGTCAGGAGTGGCGAAGACCAGGTCGTCAACGTAAACAAGAACAAAGAACGGGGTCGAGCCACGGCGCACGAACAGTGACGGGTCGACAGACGATGGAAAGAAGTTAAGTGCTGCAAGGGTCGAGCGAAGTGTGTCGTGCCACTCACGTGGAGCCTGACGCAGGCCGTAGACTGGTCGACGCAGCTGCCACTGGGTCCCAGGTGGGAAAGAGCCAGTAAAGCCAGGCGGGCGACGCAGCCAGATCAGCTCGTGCAGGCTCCCCTGAAGGAACGCGGTGGAGAAGTCCAGGGAGTGCAACTCGTAGTTGCGCTGGGCTGCAATATGCAGCAACACCCGAAGATTACTCATCTTTGGGGTGGGAGCGAAGGTCTGGAAGAAGTCCACCCCCTCTCTCTGACTGAAGCCTCTCGCCACATAGCGCGCCTTAAACACTGGTGGTGATCCAGGCGGCCGCTTCACCTTGTAGAGCCATCGGCCACTGACGACGTTCGTCCCCGGTGGTGGGACTGCGTCGACGTAAGTGCCTGTGGACCTATAAGATGCCATCTCTGCCTCCTCAGCTGCTATCCAGTACGAGGCCCATGGTCCCGAGACCGCCTCAGCGTGAGTGCGAGGGATCGGGATGTCAAGAGCGTCTGGATCCCCCTCAGGGGCAAGCAGCATGACGAGAGATGAGGAACAGCGGCTGCAAGGAAACGAAGCTCAAACTGCCTGTCCTCTAGGACCTCCAAGGGAAAGACAAGAGCACCCCCAGAGGACGGAGAACGAGCAGGGCCACTCACCAGGTGAGCGGCGTAGTCAAGGCGGTGGGAAGAGGCAAAGCCAGTGACAGTGGTAACAAGTGCTGAAACAGACGACAAGGGTGCAGTCGGGTGAGTGACCAACGCGGACAAAACACGGGAGACGACAGGACGGGAGGCATGGAGGTAGTCGGACAACGGGTCGTGAAGCACAGAGAGGGACGAATCAGGAGGCTGTGGAAGGACTGGAGGAGGTGGAACACGAGAGCGGAGAACAAGGTGAAACGGGCGGTCTGCACGGTAACGAGACCGACGAGGCTCTGGAGACACAGCACGACTGAGGGAAGAACGACGAGTCCACTGGGACGAGGAGAAGGACTGGACGGGGGGAACAGGAGGGGACAGTAGGGGACCACGAACAAAGCGTGCAGGTGCTGGGTCGGGCAGGTCGCGCAGTCGCAGTCGCTGCCGCTCCGACTCCTCATCTGCCCTCTCCTGCTGCGGCCGTGACTCCTCCTCTACTCTCTCCTGCTGTGTCTGGAACTGCACCTGCTGCTGTGGACGGGACTCCTGCTCTACCCTCTCCTGGAGTGGCCGTGACTCCTCCTCTACTAAATCCTGCTGCGACTGCAACTGCACCTGCTGCTGCACTCGTGGCTCCTCCTCTACTCTCGCCTGCTGCGGCTGCAACTGCACCTGCTGCTGTAGTCGTGACCCCTCCTCTGCTCTCTCCTGCTGCTGCTGTGACTCCTCAACGACTCTCTCCTGCTGCTGCGACTGAGACTGCTCTTCCTCCTGCAGCTGCGGCTGCTGCTGCTGCTGTGCCCTCTCAAACCGCGCACGCTCCTCCCTCTCCAACTGAAAGAGACGCTGCTCACGGGTCAGGAAACGTACAGTGCGCGGTGAAGGCGCCACAGTGCCAGTGCCTCCAGCTCCAGCACCCCCATAATCAGCACCTCCACCACCGACACCCCCGGGGCCTCCAGTACCTCCCGCAGGAACACCCCCAGTCTCCGTAGCAACAGGCGGCAGAGAAGAACGAGGGGGAAACTGCGGGACGGACGGGAAGCCAGGGGGTGAGGCGGGGCGAGGCCGCCGACTCGAGGCTGCCGTGTCCTCCACAGGAGTGACATCCACTCCCACAACCCCTGCACCCCCAGGGCCGACACCACCAGCTCCTGCAGCCCCAGTACCGTCACCCTCCGCAACTGCACCTCCCGCACCCCCTGACACGACAGGTTCTGGACGCTGCGGGGGGGACGACTGCGGAGTGACGTGCGACACACCTGACGGGGCAGGACGCGAAGGGGGGGGGGGCTACCGGGGCGACTGGGGGGGGCTCAAGGGTGAGGAACAGCGGGTGGGAAAAGGCCTCAGTACCTCGGTGGGAGTGACTCCTATAGTAACAGACAGACTCGTCAAACGTGACGTCTTGAGAAGCGAAGAACTGGTAGGTGACCGGGTCGTAGAACAACCAGCCGGAGGCGTCCAAAGGGAAACCAAGAAAGATGCAGGCACGGGTGCGCGGAGACAACTTGTTCGCGCCAGGGGCGCGAACGTGAGCCAAAGAGCCCCAGACGTGGAAGTCAGCTGCTACGCCTGGAGAACCTGTCCAAAGGGAGACCGGCGTCACCCGTGGCCGTGCGTCACTAGGCCACAGGTTCAGCTGGTGCGCGGCGTAGCGGACTGCTTGAGGCCACAAGAACTGGGGGGCACCGGCATGGCACATGGAGGTCCGGGCAACCTCCATGACCAGGCCGATGCGTTGCTCGGCTACCCCATTCTGCTGCAGCGAGGCTGGTAACGTGTAAGACTGGATGATCCCCTGACCCTGACAGAACGTCTCCAGGCGAGTGGAAGTGAACTCATCACCACGGTCCGAGTGTAGGCGGAGCCCACACAGGCCCTGGGCGCCACCCCTCGCTAGTAGCCACGGCTCGAGGACGGTAGGCACATCGGCCTTCCGTCGCAAAGGGAAAACTGAGGTGTAGCGGGAGTAGTCGTCCACCACAATCAGAAAGTAGCGCTCCTGACGTGGCCCAAGGACCGGGGAGGGGCCCCAGACGTCCAAGTGCAGGGTCTCGAAGGGAGACGTGGTGTGGGGAACGAGGAGGAGTGAGGGGCAGCGCGCTGCCGACCCTCGACGCAAGGAGTGCACGGCGGCAGGCGAGCGGGGAAGCGGGGCAAGCGACGCTGGGAGACCTGAGACCAGACGGTGACGTGCCATCCTACTGAGACGTGGGAACGATGGGTGACCTAGACGGTGGTGCCAGAGGACCGACGGGTGGGTGAGGGACCGACAGTCACACGACACAGCGGCTACCTGACCTGACCTGATCAGGCCTGACCTAGTGTGGTGGGACCTAGTGTGTAGTGAGTACAGACCAGAGCCCGGCTCCCTGTGAAAGGTGGCCAGAGGGGCCCCTGTGGTACCGACTGTGCAGGAGGCAACTGACTCCTCTGAGGGAAAAGTGGTGACTACTCCGAGGTCGTGGAGGTGGCTGACACCCACCAGGTTCCGAGAGAACGAGGGGGTGTAGTAACCTGTAAGGGCCCCAGAGGGAGCAGCCGGACACGGGAGAGTGGTGGTGCTGTGAGCAACCACAGGTCCTACAGAGGGGTCGGCCAAGGCGACAGTGACGGGAGTGCGTAGTGGTGTGAGGTCGGCGCGGTCACGAAAGAAACAGCTGGACGCCCCAGAGTCGAGTGTAAACGACAGGGACGCAGTCTCGGTGGTCGAACCTGGACAAGCTACGCTAGCAGGGAAAGCACTGGCAACTTCTATAGCACATAAGCTAGAGAAACAAGAATAGTACGCATAATCATCAACACTAGAGTCATCGGCATACATCACAGACACAGAACGCACAACCTCATCTAACTGAGGTGCAATCATGCTATACAACTGCGGGCCAATAGAATGAGCCAGTGAGGCCCAATCGGGGACACTGCGGGAGGGGCCAAACTGCGCACGGTAGCGGTCAGTGAGCTGT